ACAACTGATTTATCAATTCAAACTAATATACTCGACAATGAAAGAAAAAAATTTTCTTCCTGACTTTATATTTATTTGATCGCACTTTTTACTAAAAACATAATTAATCTCACATTAAATCATGCATCTCTCTCCTGCTTATAATCTATAATACATCCACATATACTTAAATACAATTCATTTTATGTGCTACAGTGTCGAATCCATTGTATAACATATCCGATCTAAATAGTATATAAATTAATATTTTTTGTTTCGTAAGTCATTTTTTCTCATCAATAGCCATCGATAGATCTTATTTACCTATGGAAAATAATAAAAGTTCGAAACAAAAATGTTGCACTCCTTATCGTTGGACAATTCTTATTCTAATGTTTATTTTGATACCAGTTATTATATTGACTATAATCTTTGTTATTCAAGCTAAACATGATTCACAACCATCAGTTATTAATACATTGAATACGACAATTATTAATCAAAAATATAATGTCAGTTATACAAAAAAAAAGAAAAATATAATCTTGAAAAGTTTCATAAAGTTTTTCTTATTTAAAATAGATTTCAATTAAAGGTTTACTAACAATGGATGTAGCTGCAAAAACAAATATTTGTGATAAAAGCGAAACAATTGAAGATTGTGTTCTTCTTTATAATGCAAAACTATTTATGAATGCACTTTTATTAGTTAGTAAATATTTTGTTTTGTTTTGAATGAATTTTTTGTTGTTGCTTTGGATCTTTAGGTACCTTCATCAGCATCAAATCATTCTATAGTATCTTTTTCTTTTCCAGAAAATTCTACAAAAAGTACTATTGCTTGTAAAACATTAAAAATTCGTCGAAATCAATTAGCACAAATTTTCGATCCTATGTACGTATTAACATTTACAGTGAACTCCTTCTTTTTTCCAATGTTAAATAAATTCTATCTAGTACTCTTGAAACGATCTTTAACCTTTCTGGTATTCGATATTCATCAGTTGATGATACTATTTCATCTGATTCGACACAATCACGTTCACAAATTGATGGTCGATCTATAAAAAATAGATGGAGTACACCAATTAATTATTATATTAGTAAAACAACTGGTTTAACTTCATCAATGATTGCTAATAGTAAAACAAATATAAAATTGTTATTTTCTATGTTTCTTTTTATGAATTGTATTTTTTTTCTAGTTCGTATTGCGATTTCAAATTGGGAAAATAATACATGTCTGATATTTAATGAACTATCTGTTATAACATCGACAACAAATACATCTTATGTTTTATTCGAACGTGATGATGAATATGGGTGTTCAAGTCCAGTTGGTTATGATAAAACTGATCCAACATCAGTTATACTTATTTCATCATATTGTGGTGCTGTAAGTAAATAAATAGTATTAGAAGGCGACTAAAACAGGAACGATTTTCTTATCTTTTTTTGTCAACTGAACAATTAAAATATGCATAAGAATATCAATATATTGTAGAACTTAGTTTTTCGGGGTCTATTAACTAAATTTTGGTATATTTTACTGCTTTAGAGTTTATTAGGACTTGAGGTTTTGGATACTTTGTTTAATAAATCTGTTGGAAGAATAATATATGTGTAATAGATCCAGTAGACTATAGTTATTCGATATTATGTGGCAGGATTTATAATGGAAATCTTATTATGACATATCAGTCGAAATCAATTCGTGTTAGAGAGTACGGTGCAGGGAAAATACCAATAGAGATATATATCTTGAACAGATCCGCTAACGAATTATTTGGTTCTAAGGAGTTTTCATGACAAATTCTGTGAATCAATTATATCTTCCGTATAAATCCACATCTATTTATATAAATCTTATAAATGAAATGATACTTTCATAATATACAGTATAGAAAAAGAATTTATTGGAACTCTTCAAAGAACCAATAAATCCAAAAACAATAAGTTTTCAGTTGCTTCTAGAATGCTGTGGCTCCTTGGAAACACTAGAAAAGCTGGTTTTTGAATTTTCATATGGAACTTTGTATAAAGATAGATCTAAACGAGCGTAGCTTATTGTGAAAGTTTCAAGTCGTTTGACTTGCTTCTATTATGAAATACGAGCATCAAATCTTGGATAGTCAATCCAAAGATACGAGATACTTTTTTTTGAGTTTGTGTATTCACTGATTAGTGTATCTTATACATTTCTCAAATGACTCGGACTCAGTCAGGTCGGAGATCAGTCTTTCAATAACCTAAGGACACGGACTCTTTTTAGAATATTTACAGCTTATATGAATTTATATAATACGCATAAACTCGACTGAAAAGCGATTTGTTAATTGAAAGACTCTCGTTGTAAGATAAAAGTTTCTTCTCAATAATTAATACTTTTCTTATCTATATAAACTATAATAATTTCTTTTATACGTACAATAGAATACCTAAATACTGTTTCTTAGTAAATTTACACCTAATTTTATGTGAAATAATATATTTTGTAATAGATCATTGGTTCAATAATGCATGAAATTGGACATACTCTTGGTTATATTCATACACAATCACGAGTGGATCGTAACTCTTATGTATCAATAGCAACATCAAATATTCAAGAAGATTTTGCTGGAAACTTTTTTATTTGGATATTTGGTACAATAAGATTTAGTGATGTTACTTTTCCTTATGATTATGGTTCATTTATGCATTATGATTCATATGCATTTTCAAAAAATAATGAACCAACAATAATTCCATATGAGAGTCGATATGAAAAAACAATGGGACAAAGGGAAAGAGCAGCATTTTATGATTATAAACAAATGAATAGACTTTATTGTACAAGAACAAGTACTAAAAAGAAAAGATTTTTTTTCATTAAATTGACATCTGATTCATTTCTATTATTACAGATTGTCCACTAATGTTTAGTAATAATGCTTGTCAAAATAATGGTTATCTTGATCCAAATACATGTTCATATTGTATATGTCCTGAAGGTTTTTCTGGTACTTATTGTGATCAAAAAGATTCAAATAGTAATTGTGGAGATACAATTATTAATTTAAATCCATATTTTTCTACGCAAATAACTATTCAAAATCCTTCACCGACAACCATAATACCAACAGAACAATATTGTGTTTATCTTATTCGAGTAATTGAAATTTCTTTTACTATTCATTAGGCTATCTTCCCTTTTTTATTTTAAGTCTCTTTCGCCGAGAAAGATTCGTTTACGATTAGATTCAATTAATACCGTGAAACGTTCAGTATGTAGTTTAAGATCATTAATTGAAGTTAAATATCAAAAGGATCTTGCGCTAACTGGTGCTCGGTTGGTATTGTTTAATATTTTGTGGTTTTTTTTTTCAATATAAAAAAACGTTCACTTTTGTTTTTGTAGATGGTGTGGAAATACTATAACATCTGATTGGTTAAATATTACAGCAGAAACAAATACAATGATAGTGATATTTCGAGCTAACAATTCTATTAATATTACAACTGGAAATCCACAAGCTAGTTTTCGTGCTACTATTTTCTTTGGTATGTTTAAGTTCAATAGAAATTTCACTTGCAAGATATAACTATTAGAGTATTTTTTTTGTATTGGTCAAAATTTTTGAGACAAACAAAAAAATCAATAGAAAATGCTTCATCATAGCATAACTTTATGTGTATCATCAAGTTTAGAAATGTCTATTGAATGGTATATGAACAGTTCTTCTTCATTTGTAAATAATAGTCTTTAGCAAAACTGATTTCATTATTCAACATGAAGTCCTAAGCTGAAAGACTTGAATTCATAATTAGAAAAAAAAACTTTGATTACAAGACTCATATAATATATTGAATAAGACAAAAAAAAACAATAATTTAAACGTTACCTCATTAAACTATCTTCAATTTCAATAAGACATATGCAGCATGTATGTAATTTTATACGAGAAAAAATTTCTCATATGAACTGTATCAAATATCATGTTTAAACAGAAAATAAAAAAAGATTAGTATTTAGTAACGAGGTGAAAAAAATCAATATAAATGAAAATCTTATTTTCTCATAAAAAGCGTTCTCATATTGATAAAAATCAAAATAAAATTTCAATTGATTTGTTGCAGCAGTATTCACGATATCTAAAAATGATTAGTTCAATGACTGCATTCTTTATTGATTTCTATATTAGTCTCGAAAGTTAAAGTTATTGACTCATGAAGGTATCTTGAATTCCTTGTTTTGATAATTTATGAATCGTTGGTACATTTCTGATTTCTCGTAACAGATGCTGAACCAATACCTGTTGTAAATCTGACAACAGTTACAACCACAACCACTACTACTATCAGTAGTACAGCATCAACAATTCAAGTTACTAATAGTCTAACGACGACTGGAACAACCTTGTCAACATGTCCTCCATCATCATTTCGTTGTCAATTACCATCCCAACCAACATGTGGTGGATGTCTAAATTATCAACCTTGTATCATTGAAGGTTATTCATCGAATAAATTCATCTAACTTTTACTATTAATTCTTTTCTTTACAGGTACTCAACCATGTCTAGCATATACATATCAAATTCAATTAACTGATTGTGATAAAATCGTCAATGGTGTTGCTCAATGTCGATATCAGTTAGTATAATAATAAAATTATGAATATGTATCGATATATATCGACAAATTCATTTTTCTAGATTTATTCAAACACAATATACAACCAGTTGTCCACGTACTGTTCTTCTTTGTTGTCCAAACTATCAACTTATTTCAATTCAAACATATTATTTTTGTGTGTATAATCCACAAGCAAGCAATCTTCCCAGTGAATGGTCACTTATTATCTAAATATCTTCTGTCCTCTATCGTATAGACTTTCATATGCATTAATTTGCTATTTTTTTCTAACCAATAAAACTAAAAAGGCAATTGTCATTCTGTCATGGTATAATTATAAGAGAAAAAAAAACGAGAAAGGTGCTACATACGGTTTTCTTTGAAGATCGGAATATATATTGATAATGAGTAATGAAATTTTAACAGAATTATCTAATGAAAATAATACTCAAATAGAAAAAGAAGAAATAAATAATACATCAGAACAAAAATCCATTAATTCAACTGTATCTGATCTTGATGACGTACAATCATTTTGTGCTGAATTTCATATAAAAGTTGAAAATGCAGCTGGTATTCGTCCATGGTTACAATTTAGTGATACAAATTTTCCGGGTAATTAAAATAAAAAACGAAATGCTCTTTATTCTCTCAATAAAATTCTCTATTACAGAAGAAGTTTTAAAACAATTTGAAGAAAGTGAATTTGATATGCCAACACCAATTCAATCAATAGCTTGGCCTATACTTAATCAAAATCGAGATCTTGTTGGAATTGCAAGTACAGGAAGTGGGAAAACACTTGCTGTAAGTTATACAAACTGATAAAAAAAAAGCTTTCTTCATATTTTAATTTAGTTTATTCTTCCACTTGTATTTCATATACGAAAACAACCACCATTACAACCAGATGATGGTCCTATAGCTATTGTTTTAGCACCAACACGAGAATTAGTTCAACAAATTCATAATGTTGCACAACCATATTTTAATATGTTTGGAATAAAATCATTATGTATTATGGGTGGTGATGAAAGAGAAAAACAAATAAATGAAATTGGTGATGGAAAAGAAGTTTATATATGTACACCAGGAAGATTAGAAGATTTTTTAGAATCAAAAATAACAACACTTTATCGTGTTACATTTATTGTACTTGATGAAGCTGATAAAATGCTTGATTTAGGTTTTGAAACACAAGTTAGAAATATTCTTGCTGATTTTAAAACATCAAAATCTTCAAAGTAAGAAAAACTCTCAATAGAATCCTCAAGAAATTAAAGCAAGGAAGAAAAAAAAACATATTTCTAAAGTACTGAGAAGTATAAAAATGTTTACAAAAGATCAGATAGTTTTTTTTTGTGAGCCTAAAATATTTATTCAAAAAAGCATCAAATATATCATTATCGATTACAAATAGACACAAATATATGTCATAAAAACTCTATTTCGTTTAAGTTTTTCTATTTTTTTTATCAGGAATTAATTATTTAAATTGATTTAGAATGCTGCTTTTATATTATCTATTTTATTACCATATACTTATATTAATATTTATACCTGTTAGGTATTCAGTATAGTTCTTTTATGTTGTCATATTTTCTCTTTGAACATCTAAGTGCAAAAAAATAATGAATAGTAGTACAAAGAGCATTGATACTATGTCTTCTACTATATTATAAAGAGAAATTGACTATATATTTCTTTTATCTCTTGAGTAAAAGAAATCCTCAAAACTATATACGAGCAAATGTATATGTCGAGAAGTATGCTTTTCCCCTTTGGATTAAAATGTGAAACATGATATAACTACTGTCGTTAATCACAGAAAGATTGTTTGATTCTATCTATTTTGGAGTACATTACTTCATCGTTTTTTTACTTAGTTCTCGAGAAATTCAATAAGTAAGTAGTTCATACATCATAACGAGACGTTATTGATATATAGTTTTTTGGTCGTATATCAACAACGCCTGTAACGTAGAGCAAGGATCCTTCTAAGGCATCTGTCACAGTCTGTGAGCGTCTCTAACTAGTTATTATCATAGAGATAGACATGTTACAATATCAATACGATATTCAGGTATTGGTATTGTGACATGAGGGTGTAAATTTCTACTCTTTATACTTCAACGCTCAATCTAGATGGTGTTTCCCAAAAACAAAAAAACTACCGTTTCAATAATATTTTTTTTTTCTTATTTTTCTGTAGTACTGATGAACAGCAAACTCGACGTCGAGCACAAATTTCTATGTTTTCAGCTACATGGCCAAAGTCAATAAAAGCTTTAGCTGAAGATTATTTAACAAATTATGTTCATGCAACAGTTGGTTGTTTATCAGAATCTCATGCTGTAAATTTACACATACAACAAATAGTTGATTTTTGTCCAAATGAACAACAAAAAAAACAAAATCTTTTTAAAATACTTGATGAAGTTTGTGCTTATGCACCTGATAGAAAAACAATTATATTTGTACGTACACGAGATAAAGTTAATCGATTAAGTAAAGAATTTGAACAGAATGGTTATAAAGCATTACTTTTACATGGATCAAAAAGTCAACAAATGCGAAATGAAGTATTAAAAGAATTTCGCGAAACATCAAATGCCCTACTACTCGCAACTGATGTTGCGTCAAGAGGTTTAGGTATTCAATTTTCTTATTTTAAATACATATGAAAAAATATTTTTATTTCACTAGATGTTGATGATGTACGATTTGTAATTAATTATGATTTTCCAACATCTGATGCTGTTTATATACATAGAATTGGCCGTACAGGTCGAAGTTCTCAATGTGGTACAGCATTTACATTCTTTTCAAATGAAGATGCTAAACATGCACCAGCACTTATACATATTTTGGATGAAGCTGGAGCTGTTGTTCATCCAATCATTTTACAAATTGGACGAAAAAATGGTTTTAATAAATGGGTAGCAAATGTAGGAAGTAAGTAATATTTCAATAAAAAAAAAAAAAACAAAATTCAAATTAATTTAAATTTTGTTTTGTTTTGTCAATTGAATTATTATGCGAACTATTAAAAAAAACTGAAATTTATTCTTTAGTTCCTCAATATCCAGTCTATAATCCCGATGAAAATTGGTCTGATGGTAATAATAATGGTCAAGATTGGTCGAATGATGATTATTATAATAATGAAGATTTACCACCGAACTTAATGGGTATTGATTTAAGTTCATTTGATCCTAGTCAATTACGATCAGTACCGGTGTCACTTTTAAATTCTAATGGACAACTTAATGAACTTGATGTAAATACTCGTATAAAAAATTTTCAAGATTATAAACAACGTTGTCAATTATTAGAACGTTTATCATGGGAATATAATGATGGAAATTATTCAAATAATCAAAATGATTATGATAATAACTATCATAATAATAATCATAGGTAAAAATTTTTTGTTTTATTATGATAAAATTATTGATTTAGTTATTTTTCTTCTTAAATGAAGATTTAATGGGGGTTGGTCAAATCCTGGAAATGAAAATCAAAATGGAAGAAATTGGAATTCAAATAATAATGAATGGCAAAATAAAAATTTCGATTCAAATCAAAAACGTTCATGGGACAATAATTCATCCTCTTCAAATATGAATAAAAATAATCAATGGAATAGAAATACTACTACTAATAATAATAATAATAATAATAACAATCAGGGACAAACAAATTATGATCAATGGAAATCTTCTAATCAATCACAACCTCAACAACAACAACAACAACAGCAGCAACAACAACAACAACAACAATCACAAGATCAACAATTATCTGATCTTGAAACTAATCCAGCTATTATATATGCTAAAGCAAGTAGTGAATATCATGTACAATATAATCAATATACAACGGCATTACAACAAGCTATGCTTGCTCAACAATCTGGTACACCAATAACACCACAACAACAACAGTATTTAATTGTATGTTTTAGATTTTTAATAATAATTGAATTTTCGAAAAGGAAAAAAAACATTAATTTATCTTGTAGACTTTTCAACAACAATTACAAGCTAAACAGCAACAATTACAAGTTATGCAACAAGCAGCTAATCTACAACAAGCATCAATTTTACAAGCAGCTGCACTTAGTGCTGCAACACAAAATGTTTGGAATCCACAAACAAATACATCACAAACTAATACAATGAATGATTTATCAAAATCAACTACTGATGCTCAACAAAATTGGATGCAACAATGGTATTGCAGCATAATTTGATTTTTTATTATTTCATATGATTGAAATTTTTCTTAGGATTAATGCTGGTTATGATGCATCACAAATTGCTGCTTATCAACAATGGTATAGTTTTTAAGAAAGATTTTACTATCGTTATTAAAATCTATATATATTACTTGCACATAAATCTGTCATAATACTTCGAAGGATTCAAAATCGTCAATTTCAACGAAGAAAATATATACGATGTTACGCACCTCCTACATTGATACTTAAGTAGACTTGATAGGTAGAGAATATGAGCTAAAAAATATGGTAATACAAGATATATCAATGGCAAAAAGAAACATGTGACTAGAGTCCACCGAGTCCGAGAATTGCTGGATCCGGACGAGTCTAGACCCGAGTTTGCTCATGAGTATCTAGTATCTTCTGTGTACATAAATAAGTAAAAGATCAAGGTTTTGGATATTTATTGGCTACTGTCCGGAAAAAATCTATGTTCAGTAATTTGGTGTTGTTCACTATTCCATCACTCGATGTTTGATAAATGAAAAGTTTTCGTTTAATTGAAAAGAACATTAGACGAATCAAAAAGGAAGTCCCCACAATTAATTGATAGACAAAATTCACCAGTGAAAATTGTCAAATTAACAGTAACAGCAAAACATTTAGCTCTAAGGAATAGTTTTAATTCTATTTATATAAACGAAACCAAGCAAGTAGAGAGTTTCGAATCCACGTTTTTGTGGACTCGGGCTTAGGTTTAGAAGGATTCGCAGCTCCATACATGTAATACTCTTGTATTTCACCAATAACAAAATATTTCAGAGTATGTTAAGTTTAGTTTTTGACAAGAAGATATTAAACTTTCGTAATGGCAGGAATTAAAAAAACTATTTTGATATGGAAAAATAAAAATAAAAACAATCTATGTACTATTTTGAATATATGTTTATTTTTCAGGTATGCACAAATGCAAACAGCAGCATCATTAGCTGCTTCTGCAGCTTTGTCTCAGTCACAAAATCCATCTACTACATACAGTGGAATACCGGTGAGTATTAAAAAAGAAAAAGATATGTTCGAAATTGAATGAATTATTTTATTTTTTGTAATGATGATAAAGAAAAAGTTGTTTCTCTTGATATTTGGGTTTTCGATATTGATTATAGAAGAATGTTGACCATTAATATATATATGTACATATATTCTTTTTTTTGTTGGGAAAGAAAAATCAAACGAACTGATAATTTGTTTTTTGTTTTTTTGAGTTTCGCGTCCTACTTCTTGTTTCTAGCATGGAGTAATTTGATCACACATACATATGAAGTCTTAACTTCGCAGATGAAACATTAAAATGTAATCAATGATCGATTATGTCAATGGTATATATATGTTTATTGGCTATTGTTGTAAGTTTCTTAGTTAAGACTAAAAATTTTTTCATATCAATTAAAATTCAGAAATAATACTAAAAAGAAAAACTTCAATGATGAAATCAAGACTTAATTCTTATTTGTTTTGTAAGATTTAAAAATGTGTGATAAAGTTGGTTTTTTTTTTTCTTGGGAAAATAATCTATCGTTGCGCTCGGTTGATATCGTCTATCCTCCTCATTTTACTAGTGCCATTTGCAGACAAATATGTAACACATGTACGCATCTAACAATGATCAATTATTTATCTTCAACATTTCAATACAATTGTCAGGTATCAACTCAAATGACTCTTATACACTCAATAAAAGAAAGAGAGTATAATTATTGATTGACTGATTGTGTTCTATTGGTTTTTATTTTTCTATCTTTGCGAATGAAAAACTTTCATTTCTTTTTTGTCTTTTGATAAATTCGTATTCCGAAGAAATTGTTTAATTTTGAAAGAAATAGAAAAAAAAAAGGATATTTTCAAAAACAAAATCAGGTAAGTTCGAGATCATAAAACTTATTATTTTATTTTGATATTTAAAAAGAAAAAAGAAAACGAAAAATAATCATTTCATTTTTAGTTTTCATCGAATAATAGTAATCAACAATCAACAACGACTATATCAGCACCTCCAACTGTTTCATCATCAACAGCAAGCGCTGCTCAACGTGCTTATGCTGCATATAGCAATCGAGCATCATCATCTTGATATATAAATTGTTATTTCATTTATGTATCGTTTTTTTTCTCTTTTGGTCGTGAAAATATTTCCAAATTTTCTTGTTGTTGTTAATATCATTGACCATTATTCCTGTCTTTGTGTGTTACTTCTTTCTCTTTTTTTTTTCTATATAAAAAGAAACGAATATATGACATAAATTGAGGTCCAATTGTCATCAAATTTAGAGCAGAAGTGTACGGTAGCACGAAGAAAAAAAAATGGAAAACGAGAAAAGAATTTGAGCTCTTGAAAATGTCACACATCCATATACTCATTTAGTTGCCATTGTCTACTTCGATGGTATTGTGTAAATGATACTTTTTTTAGATGGTAAAGAATTGGAGATGCAAACAGAATATAATTCAATACAATCTAAATATAATGACAAACAACGACGATAAAAAGTAAGTGTATCTATGTCTATGATATACATTCATGTTCGTGTCTATTTCTTTCGATTTTTTTATTGATTGATACATATATATCTACATATAAAGAAAACAATCATAGGTGGGCATGAGTTAGTTATAATTGTTTTCTTAGAGATTGATTTCATATTTGTTTTGTTGACTTCTGACTTGTATGTTAAGTCGTTTGAAAAAAAAAGAAAATCAATGAAATTTGTCATTCAATCATCTCTAATATTGTTCATCGGATAACTGCAGATGTGTTTATTGAAAGCAAATAAATGAATTTTCTTTTTTCTAAGTGAAAAGATGATGATAGCACTCACATTGAATTAATTCTACTTGGTTTCATTTTTTTCTATATATATACACATAAAATAAAATAAAAGAATATTTCATGTGAAGATGTCATTATACATACATTTATTTGATTTCTAGAACGAACAATTTTTTCTTTTCAGTCTATTCTGTATATTATATGCGGTTAGTTAACATTGAAACGACAATGAATTATCATATAGTGTTTACACTTTCTTGATTTGCTTCTGATAATTGAATAGGGAAATTGCATGTATGTACAGATGTGAATTATTTTTGGAATATAGAGGCGGAACAGTTAATAATGAACTAGAAGAAATTGTATCTATCAGAAGATTGAGATCGAATATATACATATGTATTTTCTTTTTAATCATAGAGAAAGAAAAGAAAAATTGATCTGGCATGCAGATATTTATTATAATTAGAAAGATGTCAATAGAAAACAACATGTACTTAGCAGATTTTTGTGTATACATAAACAGTGTTTTACTCAAGTTGTCTCTTCTGGAGGAATGATTTATAAATCTGAGACGATGAACACCTACTATTGATAGTAAAGACACATAATACATATCATAAGAACCATAAACTCTACGACGACTCGCTCGATCTTTGAACGAGCGTCGCCTTCATGCTGAATAAAACGCTGATTGAAATATCTTGATGGTTCATGTCTGCATTTCTACAAGAGATATTTGTCTTTGTTCATAGACAAAATTTCTATGTATTTTACAAAACAACATATATATTATTTTAGAATAATATCAGGTATGTACAGTAAAATATTAAACTTTTATATTCGATTGTAAATAAGCAGAAATAAATAATTCTTTGAAATATGGAAGCTATTTCGATTTCATAGAAAAAATTGTACGATTGAAAGACTGATGAGATCATGAAACAATATTTTCTTTTCAATATAATGTAACATCAATTCCTGATTTCGATAAAAAGAAATAAAAATATTTCATGCACATCGTCAAAAGTTGATTCAATCATGCATATATAAATTACCTGTAATTACTTTTTCTATTCTTGCCTTTTCTAACCAATGATTATTTATCATAGACTTATTCTTGTTCTTTCTATATTTTGATTGGCGACAGCAATAATTTTTCCAATAAGTTTTATCACAGAAAAGAAAAGAAAAAAAGAAAGGAAAATATTGATTTATGAGATTAACCAATATATTGAATAGACTTTTCTCTTTTTTCAATTGAATTGTCATTTGGTTTCGAAATCAGTCAAACAAACTATGATGGTAAGAAAGATAGAAAAAAAATAGAAAGAAAACATTCTTTAGCCTTTCGGTGAAGGGTAACTTATATATAAATTTTGAGCTTTTGTGCAGGTTCTAACGTGTACAATCATCTATTTTCACTGGACTATAATAGTATTCTTTCATTCATGCATATAGTCAATAGTATTGCACAGCATTATCGTGATATACCATTATTCAGAATATACAAAGGAGAGGCAAGCGAATTTCTGGATCCGAAAGAACTCGAAAATCTATCAAATCTCTATATTCAAAGTCTTTCAGAACAACATGAATATAAACAATGATTCAGATGTTAGCTTTTATGAAATCTATATTATGATATGGGATTTCGAAGTTTTTCATTGAATCAGTCGCAGAACTCCATAATATTCAGCATTCTTCTACTTGACTGCATTTTCACAGAAAAAAGAACACTTGCCGTCAAAAGATTAAATAATCTTTGTATCAACGGATAAATGGAAAGTTTGTAGACAAGATCTTTGTTCAATTTTGACGTATTTTGGATGAGTCAAAAAGCTATATTACGAATATATTTGTAGGGTTTTTTGAAAGATCTGAAAAATTATTTTTACTAGCGAGTCGATAGGTTTTTTTTTGTTTACCTTTCAAGTTCCTTTTCGAATATGTTAAAAACTGCGGAATTATTCCTTTCTTAGAGTGAATACTTCTCTAGCATATGCGATATTGACCTAAGCTGTAATTTTTACTCAAACATTTTTCAAGAGTTACTTTCAATGATGAATATTGAGGAAAAATGAAAAGTGAAAAGCTTTGTCGAAAGATAAAAAAAGAAAGTTTCAAATAATAGTAAAAATATAAAAAAATTCTTTCCAAACTAATTTTTCGGACTTTTTAAAGATGATTTCGCTATTTTCGAACAAAATTTCTAAGCGTACATACGAAAAAAGCACAAAATCACAGATTTTAACTCGTCGGAAATATGTCAAAAGTGAACAAACATCATATCTATAAAACTTTTCAATTACTTCGTTATTACGTGAGATATAATATCTTATGAAATCATTTGTTTGATTACTTAATAATAATAACATGAATTCATTGATAGTTTTCATTTCTTTTCGTCTCATATCATTATTTTTATTTTTCGATTTGGTCACACAAATGTTCATTGAAGCATAACAGAGAAAAAAAAAGACTGACCCTTTCTCTCTTTTGAATCATTGTTGTCATTATTATGTGCATTTTTTTTTCTTGTACTCATAAGAAAAGATTCTCTGTTCTGCTTTCTTCTTCTTCATCGTCTTTTTTTTAAAGGTTTTACATAAGAAAGTTTCTTTTTTTCCTTATTTAGTGTGACTTATTGATCGTATGCCGCATCAGACGACCTGACGTGATAATCGTTCTCTATATTGTTCACTTTTTATTTGAGGGGGCGGTGTCTTTTTCTTTAACGAATAAAAAGTCTTTTACAAAAATGAAATTAGCTGTAATTGAGAGTAAAAGTCAGGAAAAAAACAGGTGGTCAATGATTGTTACTTTATTTGTTAGCAATCACTATGATGAAAAAAAAAAACCAGAATTCTTTTTTGTGACATTCACTTTTTTTCTCCTTCTTTTCATATCTAGATTGTTCGTCAAAATAGACATTCAACACATTCTATTCAACAATCGTTGGTTGGAAATAGTGAAACAACAAATAATCAACATCAATTTACTGATTCCAGAATGCAATATATGTATGAAAATAATACTAATGAAAATTTATTATCACAATGTGATAATGGTAAATATGAGTGGTGTTTTCTAAGACATTTGTTCTTTTGAATTTTCTGAGACAGAGATATCGCAAGTGTGGAATAGAAGAGCGAGATTGAGAGATTGAACTTCGTCAATTTGGGTGAATTTCAGTTCTTTTCATGCATAACAAAAAGACAACAGAAGAAATTAATAGCATTTTTTAAATAAACTCCAAAAGATCTGTTTTGATGATCGAAGATATGAGTTGAATCGATGCCTTTTTGTTTCATGAGGATTCCACTGCAGCATCACTAAAAATTTTTTGTTTTTGGATACATAACAACATTCGTTTACTTCTTTCATCTAAGTACTTCATACTTTACTGAGCGCTTGAATTCATTGTTGAATTAATAGTATTACATATCAAATGAGCAAGCTTGAAAGCAATTCTAGCTTTTCGTCGTTGATATAGTTACGAATAGTTTTCTGTGAGGATGAGAAAAGCTTAGAAAATTTTCTCACTATAAATTAACAAAAAGGTAGAGGATGTCCTTAGTGAGGGGAGGGGGTAGCGCAGCGGTTATCTTCACCTTCATTCTTGAGAAATTTTCTCTACTGGAGTTCTAGCATTTTATAGTTTATTTTGCTGATCAATGCTCAAAAGAATACTCCTAGGAGTGCTGGCTTAGCTTTAGCATTGCATTAACTACTGCTTTTTTAAATACTTTTGTATTAGAGTTAAAAAATTAATTTAATACTTTGGCATTAGTATTAGAAAAGTAATAACCTAACACTAATACTTATAGTTCCCAAGAACCAAACAAAACTGTTCCCTTATGGAAATTTTTCCCAAAACAGAACAATCTTGTTCTGTTATGAGAAGTCGTTCCAAAAAAAGAGCAAAATTGTTCTATTTTGGGGAAAAATTCTCATAAAGAAACATTTTTGTTCTGTTCTTGGAAACTATAAGCATTAGCGTTAGGTTAATACTTTTCTAATACTAATTGCAAAGTACTAAATTAATTTTTTAACACTAATGCTAAGCCAGCACCTCAAAACACTCCATTTCTCCACGAAATATGGTGAACTTCAGAAAAATTCTTTCAATCAGCTTTCTGAGTCATCAAACTCCCATAATCCTGATTACGTTGGGACGCTTCGTGAAAGAAGAAGATGTGTATATGGTATAATAAATATTTAGAAGTCTATACTCAATCTCCTCATATTCATCAACATCCTTCACATGGTCGTTTTCAATATCAGCATGAAATTCAATTGTTTTCTCCTCAACACTCGTCAACAAGTGATGTAGATGAAACATCACCACCACCATCTTCATCATCATCACTCAATAGAGTAGTATATATTTGAAAAAAAAAAAAATTTCTTTCTTTCTTTAATATTTATTTTTCTCTAGAATGATACAATAAGTAATAAACTAATTAAGAAAAAGAAACAAACAAAAAAGAAACGTAAAGATCCAAATGAACCTCAAAAGTAAATTCATATTTATTTTGATTTCTATGAACAACATTTTCTTAGGCCAGTTTCTCCGTATGCATTATTCTTTCGTGATACACAAAATGATATAAAAAAGAAATTATCTAATCCTTCATTTGGGTAAATAAATTTAAATATGTCAAAATTTTTGATTTTCCTTTGTTTATATGTTTTTTAGAGAAATCTCAAAAGTTGTTGCACATATGTGGGAAAATATTGAGCCAGAAATTAAAGAAGTAAAGAATACAATTATAAATTATTATTATCATCTTTTTCATTATAATTAATTTTTAGCAATATAAATCTAAAGCAGCTGCAGCTAAAAAAGAATATTTAAAACAATTAGCTGCATATCGTGCTGTTCAAATTTCAAATCAAGTAAAAAATGAATTTGCATTCAAAAATAAAAACTTCAATTTTTCTATTTATCATTTAGACACCAAATATGCATCATCTTCTTAATCAAACATCTTTATCATTTGATTCACATGGAATTCAACATCAACAAAAACCATATCATACAGCATCAATGATAAATAATAATCATCATTCATTTCAATCATTTTGTCCATCATCATCTATTCAACATCAAAAACAACAATACAACCATTTTCATTATATGAATTCTTATACTCAAGATACTTCAAATGCATATCATTCGGATTATCAAATATGCAATTTTTCTAATCCTAGTCATCAAAATTATTCTTCATATGATTCAAATAATAATTATTCTGATTATCAACAATATGGTTTACTTCAACCAGTTATTGAATCTGAACATTATTCACCTTATTATTCTCGATCATCAATTAATAATGAACATATAAAAACAAATGAAAATTTAATACATAATTTAAACAATAATAATAATATATCACAGTATACAGATCTTACTCCTATAACAAATGGACATCTTGAAAAACCTTATGATTATATGAATAATGTTCATCATGGATTGAATGATAAAAAACAAGATGGTCATTCATCATTATTACCAATTAGTAATGAAAATAATTTTCATTGGCAACAAACAACATGTTTAACCACACAGTGGTGATGCGTACATTTTCTTCCTTTTGTTTGTTTATTAATAACAAAGAATAATAATTAAATCTAATAAATTATTCAGTTTAAATATCAATAAAATAATTGTTTTAGATAGTTTTATTTGTTTATGGCTTCACTAGAATATATAACAGATACAAATAAGTCTGATTCATTATGCTCATCAACACCGGTAATAATTTATACGATATTCTGTTTTAAACAATGTATACATGTTTTGTACATTTAAAATGAATAAAAAATTCCTTTTCTTTTGTTTTTGAATATTAAAAAAACATAGATTCTTTTTATATTCTATTGTGTCTAGTCATTATCAACTGTCGTCGATACTACAGTATCTTCTAAAATAAAATGTAAACGTGTTGGATGTGAAAATCCTTCTATTGATCATCCTGAATGGGATGGAGAATATTGTAGTGCACAATGCTTATCGGTTTTTTGCAAGTAGGAATTGAAAAAAATTAATTCTTATACATAAATTAATTTACATTATACAGAGAAGCATTTGAACAATGGGTAAAGAAGAAACAATCAATGTCTTGAAATTTACAAATTATGTTGTTATGAAGTTTTTGTACAATGAATACACTCATCGAAGTGTATTGAATGTTTGAAAAGATTTGTTGTTCTTCTTTTTGAATAAAAAAATAAATAAATGTGATTAAAAGTATCAATGACAATCCATTTTAAGTTATATAAAAAAAACAAAGAATATTCTATCTTGTGATGATAAGGATCATCGAATGATGATGAGAAAAAGTTTTGGCTTGATCACTTAATCTACTTTTTCTTTACAAGAAAATATAATCTGACAACAAAAAAGAATTACAGCTTGAAATTAGAACTGTCAATTAGATGAGCGTTCACACAAAATTATGTAAAAACGTGTAAATTGAAGATGTCTTATTCATATTAGTATTGATATACTACTTTTTTAAAGTTTGAATAGTATAACTGATTGTTTTGATACAGAACTAAACAGTAAAATGTGTAAAAGCATTAGATTCCAGAATGATATTATTATAATATTTCACATATTATAATTTAGAAATGCACAAAATTTTATTCGCATTCAATAGAAATTTTTGAATAAAAGAAAATTCGTCTAAACAAAACTATTTTAACATTGTCAATTCGCATTCAATTGAACGGATAATTTCATAGATGTCTTTAAAGTTTTGCTTATTGTTTGTAAAAGTAGTAGTCTTGGAATACTATTTTATATACAAAAAGAAAGTATTAATTGATCTGGTCTCATCGACCAAATCCTATGTCGATGTGCTTTTAAGAAATGTATTTACTTTATTGCTAGTAAAAAGAGTAATATACGGATAGGATTCTACTGAAGGTCGTTTCAAAGTTGAAACATGCGAAGAAATATAACAACTTGTAGATGATAGTAAATTAATTTGTTTTTTTTTTAATAATAAGTTCGACATAAACTTTTTTATATTGAAATTGTTTTATTTAAATTCATATAAGAGCAAGATCCTTTAGAATTTCTTGAAATCAATTAAATTTCGACCATACTGTTGAATCTACTGATATATTTACCACCATAGAAAAATATCTACTACATATTGAAAGTGTTACAAAAAAACCTATCATCCCACTGAACATATCAGTTGATGTCCAAACTTGAATTGCTGCAGGAGAAGTTTGAATTCGAGATTGAAAGCATCTAATGTGAAATAGTGTGTGAGTCATATACGTTAAAACTCAAATTAGTTTTCAGGTTGATGTTGTCTTCACATTCTTAATTGATGAGCTCTAATCAAGCAACAGCATTTCAATTAATGTAATCGTCAGTTGATCAATTAAGTTTGTATTAGTAAAGTCATGACCGGTTTTATACACAAGAGCCTCATCAATGGAAAAATTTCTGATGACTGCTGAACTATTCTTAGGAAGAAAGAAAATAACGGCCACAAATAGCGTTAGATTGAAAGTTTGAATTAAATGATTTGTCATTCATTGGTTTAGCGAAATCTTATTCGTGCCAATCAATCGCTTCTTACTGGACCTTCTACTGCCTACTATCAATAATGAAACGTACAGTTTTCTTAACTTTATTCGTTTGACACCACGTCAACTGGGCGTTGGTAATCATGTTCTTCTCGGTTCTGCTCTCAACCAATATACCGCTCTTATTTCTACTTCTAAAATTGATTCAAGTTATTCTTGAAAGTAGTTGACCACTGTTGAATTATAGTCGTGCAAATCTCTTTTCTTGCAAGATCATCTGTTTTCTTCTCTCTAGTCTTACTCAAATAAACTATTCGATAACCAATTTATTGAAAACGAATGATATATGGTGAGAGTGTCAATATTCATTTCAGCCATAACCCCACATGAAAAACCAGTCCGCACCTTCTCAAAGCAGGCTTTCACATCCACACCATATTTCCTGCAGTTATTAAACTCATATGTTTAGTTATTGTATACCTATCTATTTGTTTCGTTTTTCAGAATGTCTCTCTTTCGCCTAGAGAGTACCTTGGCGAAGTGAAGTAATAAAGATATGAAATTCTACATCCCATTACGATTGCAGTTCAAAATATGTAAAATCACTTCATGTTAGTTTTCGTGGCTTAGAATATTTTCACATGATATTTGTAGATATAATGCCAACTAACGTCTGCAATAATGATAGACTAGTTGCATAAGCTTAATATCAGAAGGTTAAAAATGTCACAAACTTCTTTTTACCCTTTCTACTAAAACAAACACGTAGACAAATCGAATTCATGTTCATGACGATGAAAAGTATAGCTGATTTCTCTAAGTAATATCTTACTCCATTCGTCGATGATGCTTAGAACCTCTCTATTCCATTTGAGCTTTTATTTTTGAATAGTCTAAAATATATTCCTTTTCTCGATGTGATAGCAATCAAACATTTTCCTTATAATACACTCTGACGCACATGAATCAGTGCAGGCATCCTGTTTTCTTCTTTTCTTTCTCGTCTTTATCCTCTTAACTAAAGTATGAATCGAACGTGAAGGTCAATGCCAAAAGAAACATACATATCTGCACTTAAATCAATAAGAAACACAAAATGAATAAAAATCTTATAGCATTAACAAAATATTATCAAGTACAAATTTTTCTGTTCTGTGTGATCATTTTCGATAAGACTTCATGACATAAATAGTATGTAGATTGTGTATTGATTGAATATTTCATTGCATAGTATATCATGAGATTTGAGTTTTGAAGAAAAATCAGTTTATTTTTTGACAAACAGATGATACCTAATGAAATATATCTAAATGACTTTAGAATAATCTAGTCAATATTTCAGACGACATCACTCATTGACATCTTCTCATCGAATAATAGTAACATAATCGGTAGAAATTTTACATAAAATGATAGTACTATGAAAATCAAAACATATTCCTCTTGATCTTTTACTTGAGGCTTAGGATAAATAATTGGTCAAAGGATCAACTAAAGTATACACTGAATAAATAGTTCAAAGAAAACAACAAGCATCTACAAAGCCTTATACAATATATTGTATGCAGTGCTCATGAACAAGGTCTGTGTGCTTAAATTAGTCTGCATATATTTTTTGACTTCATGTGTTTAGTTTTCTATACATTTTGCTACATATACAAAGATTGATATTACAAAATATACTAAACAATAATGAATATAATACCACATCAATTCTTATGATTCTCTTATATTTTTTTCTGTAATTACACTGTTATATTACTAAATGTGAAGATACTCAATGATGATATATCATTTAAAATATTGACTTGAATATCTGACACAAATACAGATACATTGAATTAAAGATCAGCCGACAGAGGAAATTTATTAAAACTTTGTATTGTTGTGATTATAATAAACTTTGTATTGATAAAAATTTATTTATTTCAAGTCTGTTCATAGAATTTGACTTAAGTAATAATTTGATTATCGTCCAGAAGGACTTACATTAAATGAATTAGGTGATACACCGTCCATTTTTCTACCCATATAATAAACACTCCAGTTGTCTTTAGCGTATCCATGAGAAAGAACCTGAAATGACATTGTACTGGCACCAGGAATTTTTCTGTCCATATAATAAACATTCCAGTTGTCCTTAGCATAACCATATGCTAAAGGTTGAAACGACATAGCACTTGCTCCATCCATTTTCTGACCCATATAATAAACATTCCAGTTGTCTTTAGCATAACCATATGCTAAAGGTTGAAACGACATAGCACTTGCTCCATGAATTTTTTTACCCATAAAATAAACATTGAAATTATCTTTAGTATAACCAGAATTGAAGTTATTCATATCATATGAGGATGAGGATCGCTTAGTCAATTCTTCTTGTTCATCATCCGAACTATCACTCGAATCGTCAAACAGTGCACGTTCAACATTAAACCCTAATGCTTTGTGATTGAGTATCAAAAAGCATAATAATAACGAATACATCCAAACCGAAGCCATTTTTATTACTAAAGAAAAATATTAAAAAAACATTATTTCTAACCTTTTCGGTGAAAGAAATAGAACACATTCATGGAGTATGCATTTTAGGCAAACAAATTGAGTTTGCAATACTCTAAGCAAACTCTTCTAAAACGCTAGGAAGAACGAGGGAAAGAATAAAAAAACATAAATAATGAAAAATTTAAAAGTACATATGTACTCTAGGTTTTTTTTAGAGATCATATCATGAGGTCTATGGGATAACAGGTTTTTCTAGAGTGACACACACACTTTCAATATATATCTTTTACATATGTATAAAATCTTTATTTGAAGTAAACGAGTGATATACACACGCCTGGACAGAAAACTTCCTACTCTGATCATTATGTTTTTATAAAACCTCTTTGGTCCAAGTATGATTGATGAAAATTTGTTTCAATGAAGACTTTACATCTTTCAATATAATCGAGCAACACTGCATATGAATTGGTTGTCAAAATATTTCATGACTAGGTTTTTTTAGTATCTGTTAACTGCTTT